TAATGAGAGAGTTGAACAATCAGACCAATAAGGGAAGTAGCAACACGGGAGAGATTAAGGAGAAAATGAGGAACCAACATATTTTATATTGTCGAAGAATCATTTCTGGACGAATTGCCTTTCTCATTTGCAGGAAATCCAACTACATCAATGTCGACATGATGGATGAATTTTTTATAAATTGGCATCATTCAGGGCAGACCAAAACCACTTGTGAAATAACCTCTGAAAGAGTTTTGCGTTCCCTGTAATTTTCCTTTGAGGGGACTCTTTTTCTCTCTGTTCTTTACCTCGGTTTTTCCTTTAACGACGTGACAACACTCTCCCAAACTTGGTTTCAGATATAAAAAGTGATTTCCGGTTTGGAATATCTAAATTACCGAGTTTTCGTTCGCCTTTTTTTTTAATGGTAAGTTCGTATGGTATAACATGATATCGTGATTACATTATATTATCATTCTATTAATATCTAATGATTATAATAATCATACGTAATTTGTTGACCTGGATTTATTATCATTATCATTTTAGGTCAAGAATCATACGATTTTGATTCACGGTCCGCTCTAATTTCATTGAAAACAAGCCGAGATTTTATTTCAAAAAAAGAAATTTTCCTTCAAAGTCTTTTTTATCACGACCATTACTTTCGTAAACATCAAAATCCCGAGTAATTAAAACCTCCTTTTATGATTACTATCGTTCTGCCGAATCAAACAAGGAATTAGTTGCATATCCGTTTTCTCTTCTTTTCTTTTTTGTTTCTAAATTCTACGAATTTGATGTTTTGAAACCGACTACTCATTGACTAATTCCTCCACAATTATTAAGAAAAAAAAACTCAGAGGCTTTCTATGATATAATTACGTCAGTGACATAATAAACCTTAAATTCATGATATCACTATTTTCACCACTTACCACTTACACACCATTTGTCACTAAATCCTATCGATTCTACAACAACTGTGTGTTCCTGTATTCGGAGATTTTTTATTTACATACGCACTTCAACTGTAACACCGTTTGCACAAAGGTGACCTTTTTTTTTTTTTCAAGAAATTATTATTGATCTCGTGCACCCTAATTTATCATTCTACGGTAAAATAGTGTTTTTTTCGTCCCCAAAAATCTCTCGTTTTTTCACTATCAAATCTGCTTTTATTTGTTTATTTGATACTTTTTGTTCAAAATAAAAAATCTTAATATAAAAACTTATTCCTTTTATATTTATTGTACCTGTTAACATATATATATATATATATATATATATATATATATACGCCTGCCCGAGTCTTTGACTTTTCCTTATCAACAAAAAAATATATTCATCCTCTTAAACGCACAACTTGGGTTTTTCTTTACCTTTTCTTTTTTTTTTTTTTTACTGTCACCACGAGAAACCCATAGAGATTACGCTAGTTTTCCACAAAAAAAAAAAAAAAAACAAAAAAAAAAAAGAATAACTCTTAAAACTTTCATAAAATTTCAGGTAAAGATATCGAATAACTTGCTCTTTTGCGCTTACCTCCTCTCGTTTTTATCACCTTTACTCAAACTTTATTGTTTTTTTAATTCCAAATCTTAGTAAAAAAAAAAAAAAAAAAAGAAGAAAAAATAGCTAAAAATAATTATCTAAATCTCACCACGAAGTAAGTATATTTCGCAATAGAGAGAAACCATAAAGGCACTTGGTTGGTCGGTTCCGCATTCCAAAAGTGAATTTTTATCATTTTTGGAATTTTTTTTTTTTGTTTTTTTTTTAATCATCGATTGAATGTCGGATAATTAGTCTCATGGGCAATAAAGGTTTTTTTTTTTTTTGGTCCCTTCCTTGTGTGTGCCTTTCATTTTTGACCGAGTTTAGAATCGTTCTCGAAATTTATTGGTTCCTCATTTTCTCCTTAATCTCTCCCGTGTTGCTACTTCCCTTATTGGTCTGATTGTTCAACTCTCTCATTA